ATGAGGTGCTCAGTACGACGAGTCAAGTTCTTATCCTCAAAACGGTATTTCAAGGCCTTAAAGAAGTCCTCAATCCTAGCTCGTTGAGAGTACTGCACCATCGAGGTGCATCCTGCCTCTTTCACTAGCGAAATGGCAAAGCTAGTTGTGTCTCCCCTTAGGCATGAGCTTGCCCTAAGTACGTGGTCCCAATACGGAATCAACTACACGTACAGATATATGTCCATCGTTGCCTACCAATGAAAAATGCTCTCCTCCTTATCCCAATGTACGTCCAAAGGACCTTAACCTTCATCTTCTCTCTTCGTTCCCCTTCCTCAGACTTGTCTCCTTCACCTTTCTTTCCTCCATCGTTCTTGAGACATTTTCCCTTCTTGTCATCATCCCCATCATCACCACCATCTCCATCTCCACCACCAGGACTCAACTTGGTTGAAATGATGGTGTTAGCCAGTTTTTGAGTGATGAGGCCATCTAATTGGCGTGCATACAACACCTATGATCAAGTTGGTGGGACGTTGTGCTAAGGTAGTTGTTCCAGGTACTCTCAAATTCCTCCTAATGTCGGTCTGCCTTTCCAACGGCTCGTTGTAGTGCAGACAGTGCTTGGGTGGTGTGTACCAAAGTGTCAATGAGGACGTTCCAGCGTTTTTCGAGGTTTGCTTGTTTCCCTTTCTACTCCTTCAGCAACGCCCGGAGTCTTTCCCCCTCCTCCTTCAATTTTTTCTTCTCATCAAATTCCCTCCTTTCTGCGGTCAGGGACTTTTGATTAAGCTCACTTCTCTTTTCTTCTATCAACAGATTCTTCTCCACTTGATCCTTAGGTGCCGCCAACTTTGCCACAAATCAATCTCTCTCTTCTTCAATTTCTTCCGGAAGCTTTGTCCGGTACCCAAATTTTCCCACCCAGTTTAAGTCTCCAACATCGCTTCTCTCCGTCATTTCTTCCCCTTCTGGTCTGGTTCTACTTCTCTCCAATACTCGTTCTCCGTCTTCTTCTTCCAATTCATTTTTTATCTCTTCCTCCTTCCTTCTCATCTCTCAGTCTTCTCTTTCTCCTCCTCCACCTTCTTCCTCTCCTTCTCCAACTTTTCATTTACTTCCTCCTCCTTTTCTCTTTTTTTCTTTTCCCTTTCCTTTTTCTTTTGAGCCAACCTCGTCATTTTTTCCCTGTTCTCCAGCAGTATATGGCTTTGTACTCCTACCGGATCTCATGGTCACACCGAAACTACACGTCCGGTGGAAGCCGAGAGGAAACAGGAAGAGGAGTGGACCCCATAGCACAGACAAGTCAAGAATGTGAACATTGGGTAGTCGTCCATGATGGTCAAAAGCACAGGTAAGCAACCTCCACCTCCTCACCACATAGACCTAGCCCTCAACACTTAGCCTGGCTTACTCTAGATTGGAGTCTGACCTGCCTAAGTTCTCCCCCCCCCCCCCCCCACTACAGCTTCACCATCAGGCTGGTGGGCAACCGACAATTTAAGTTGCTCAAGGACCTCAAGAATTCTTTAACGACATAGACAGGATGCCCTCCTCTCCAGTGTCACAAAAACTACCCTGTCAGGCTGGTGGGCAACCAGCAGTTTTAAGGTCAGCCAGCAAGGACCTCAGGAATTTTTTAACGACGCAAACAAGATGGTGTGCCCACCAGGATCTGAAGGTTCGCTTTCAAGACTTATAGCTCCTCATTGTGTCATCTCCGGTTCGGTCGCATGCCGGTCAGTACCGGTCTTAGGGCTAGACGAGTTGTTTTACAAGCGCTAGCTGCTCATGCCCATGCTTCCTACTTTCGGGTGAGTCATCCAGCTGCCAAGCTTCTATCCTAGACACGACCTACTTCATGCACATGCGTCTAGGCAGATGCTGACTCAAGACAAAATCAGATATGTCACGAAGTGTTTTGTCCAGCAGCAGCGACACCAAGTTGTGGGAAGATATACATGACACTCATTGATCCATAAAAACAACTGCAGGGCTTATGGGGGCGATGCACTTCACTTGTGAACGTTCCTTTGATGAAGCTCCACGACTTTGTTCCACGCATGCAGGTACGTAGTTAACATCCCCCACTCTGGCCACTTATTTTTTGGCCACCAAGCCCACTGTCAAACTCCAAATCTCATCTCGCCGGCCTTAATCTTGCCAGCGATCATGAACAGCCGATGCAGCGAGTACCAGCTCTGATACCAATTGCATTGAGCCACACTGCTCGTCATCTTGAGCACACACCCACATTGAGAGATCACACGAAATCCACACTGGAGACCAGGGATGCAAAGTCCAGATTAGCGCAGCTTAGAAATTCCAGCGAATTATCATATTAAACAGTTTCTGAGTTCCAGTCACCAAGTGCTCCATGGTGCAGAGCTCAGCAACCCCTATCCAGCATCCTCTTCCAAGTAGGTGACCTTCTCTCTCCTTGCCTCACTCTCTCTCTCTCTCTCTGTCTCTCTCTCCCTACATGCATATGTCCTCTCTCTCTCTCTCTCTCTCTCTCTCTCTCTCTCTCTCTCTCTCTCTCTCTCTCTCTCTCTCTCTCTCTNCTCTCTCTCTCTCTCTCTCTCTCTCTCTCTCTCTCTCTCTCTCTCTCTCTCTCTCTCTCTCTCTCTCTCTGTATATATATATATATATATACATGAAGATCTTGACTCGGGATACATCCGCTACTACTCAGCTCCACCTCCTACTACTAGGTGTGCGGCTATGGCCTCCTTCCTTCCTCAGCACAGCGCTGCCCAGCCAGGGCTCCAGTGCTAGGTTCCCGCAGATAGTGCACAAGCGCCTCAGCAGCACTTCCACACTTCTTGCAAAAGAGCAATCTGTTTGAAATGTGGCTGGCCAATCCTTATACTGACTCGGACTGAGCCTCGACTCGTCCCAGCCTCTTCTTCTCTTGGCTTGACTTGGACCCGGTACCGGCTGCCTGCTGCATGTTTGCTTCAGAATATTGCGGCCCGGTACCTCCCTGAGTTTTCCTTGGTGTGCTGCTGCTTTAAGGTCTGTGGGATGTGACCTCTGACTCTGGGTCATGACCCTTGCCTGTGGGATGTGACCTTTGACTGTGACACATGACTTTTGCCTATGGGATGTGACTTTTGCCTATGGGATGTGACTTTTGACCGGGTACATGTTGGACTCGACCTCTGGGGCACCCGGCGTAACCTTTCTGAAACTAGCCGACCTGCCCTCTTTCGGCCTGGGGACTTTGACCCTGAGATTCGAATTTGGGGTCTGCAGCATGAAATGCCTTTCACGTTCAGGGCTCCAATCATGCTAAGTCTAAACAGCAGTACTGCATACATTACATATTGCACATAGTATTCATGCACATGCTGAAATGAACTGAGTTCTCGTGAAGTTTCACATTGCATACGTCAATGAACAGTCACACGAGAGTTCACACGTAAGAAGCCAAAACTGAGATACAATCAACACATGGGGAAGCCGCCACCAAAATTATCATTATTATACAAGAAATGTTTATGTCTCCAGCGGCTCTGCCGCACACACACACACACACACACACACACACACACACACACACACACACAGAACTGCTCTCAACCGGATGACGGCTATGGCTTCTCTCTCTCTCAGCAGTCTCGCTCTTCTCTCTGACTTGGCTCGCTCTGCCTCACCCTCGGTCTCTACCCTAGATCGTAACCCTGGCCACACCCACTCAGGTAAGCTTCACGCTTGGCGGCTATGGCCGCCCTCCTTCCTAACTCCCTCTACTCTAGCTATGGAGTAACTCTCAAGTGCCCCCTTCCTCCTTCAGGGGCGAAGTGCCCAAGTTGCCTTAACGCAGAAGCAGCAGCAGTGCTTCCGCATCTTGCAATTGAGCAAGTGATGAGCCGCTGTACTGTAGCAGCTAAATATAGGACTTGACTTGGCTTTGTCGGCCCGGTAACTTCCGGACTTTCATGGGACATGCTGCAAAATAGGACTTGGGACTGTACTGGACTGGGCTTCTCTCATTGGGTACCGGACTGACTTTTACCGACCAGTGACGTTTCAGTACCGACACCTACCAACCTACGACACTTCAGCCTGTGGACCCTACAACCTACCCTACTGGGACAAGCCTGGGATTGGGACGTTTTGGGACACTGGAAGTGTGAATCCTTTCAATGCACACAAACAGCAATTCTAAGACTAAGCGGCAGTAACAATCATGATTCACACGCACACAAACAGCAATACTAAGACTAAGTAGCAGTAACAATGACCATTCACACGAAGTCTAGCAAACCAGTCATCATTCACACAAACCTGCAGTATCAAAGGGACTATATATGCATGCAGATGCACATGCACATGCAAGTGCACACACATGCACACAAAGCCTGATGTGACCAGCAACAAGGATCACCATCACCGTTTGCTAACAACAACGGCCATGTAGGTTGATCTACAAGGACCTTCTCCCCTCACACACCGCACCCGCATCCCCTACTTCCCTTCCCTCCCCTCCCCTTTCCCTCCCAACCCCCTTCCTCCCATCACCTCCCCTCCCCTCCCCTCCACCGCCCCTTTTACCCCACGAATGGGCAGTTAGCAGATGTTGATGGTCTTGCCTGCACACAATACTCACACGCAAAGGATTCTCTTCAATTTCAGATCGTTGGTCGAAATCCACCATGCCAGCATTTGAGACTGTCAATATGAGAGGCCGTACTCGAGGGTGAAACAATCATGCATACAGTCACACGCACACATATAGCTATCGATCAGCAGGCAAGACCATCACCATGAGAGGCCATACTCGAGGGTGAAACAATTATACACACACTGTCACACAGTCATATCCACACATGTGGCTATCTATCTAATTGGAAGTGCTTACAATGACAGTACACAGGTGGTTATCTAATCGCCTCCCAGTCCAGGAGGCCGAAATTATCAATGCAGCGAGGACTATCATCCTATCCATTCATCCGAATAGAGGGGTGTGGCAGGCACCCTTTCATCGGATGTGGGCAACTAGATATGAACTTTTCTGCACATCAGAACGTCGAGTCGGATAGGAGTGAATGCGCAATCTTGGTTGAACTTCTGACAAGTTCAGACAATCCAGTCATGTCCGATTGTGGGGTGAACCACCCTGATTTGTCTTTACCTGAGTAACTGGCTCCATGTGGCACTCTTCCAAACAGGCAACAGTCTTCCTCGAACGTGTGTCCCAGAATATCACCTGTCAAAACCGCATTCAGAAACAGGACATGAACCCCCTCCCCCCCTCCCCCCCCTCCTTCTTTCCCGGCCCACCTCACATGCATACAAGAGAAGTGACAAAGCCAAGTGACTCCTCACTTGTCAGATGAATCACATCGTGAAAGAGAAAACAAAAAAACAAAAAAAATCATCACATGAAGCACATGCGCAGAGGAAGACAAAATGGACCAACATGTAACCATCCGCCAACACAGTACACAAGAATGGCACACAAAGACACTTGCAAGGATCCTGGTCTGAGTATATGCTGTTAGACTCCTCGATGTTGATGATGAAGAAGCTGCTGGCCTTCTGTCATTGTGTTTGTCGCTCATAGATAGTCCAGTTGGGGCTTGGGTAAGAGGAAGAAAGAATGAGAGAATGCACAGGGATCACAGAATAGTGATCAAGACTCCTCTGTCTGTCATTAGCCCGACCTTCAACCTTCTATTGTGTTGACATAGTAGAGATGCTTGATTGTGTTTGAAACATTGCGCAATGGAGACACTTGATGACGATGTTAAACCACCTCTACATCCGAGGCTGTTCTTTTCAAGCCTCCCAAGTGATGAGCATCCCAAAAAAAAGAATCAGCGCAGGCGGCAGGGTTGTCAGACCGCCTACGGCCGACAGCTCGCCTACCAGTCAGGCCGACCCATAGGCGGACTGATCGGCAGTCTGTAGAGGGTCATCCACTGTTTTTTTCTCAAATCTGAGTTCAGGGCTGTACTGCACTTGCTGAGTACGGCCCAAATCTGCTGAGAAACTTTTGGGGTTGGGGCTGTCTCTTATACACATCTAGATGTGTATAAGAGACAGGTATGGGGGTGTTTGGGGGGGCTATGGAGGTGTTGATGGGTTACTTGAGGTTCTGGACCCAAAAAAGAAAAAGAAAAAAGAAATTGTGGGGTGCCGACCAGACCGACGGTCAGCAGGTTGGCCCCCGACCAATCCAGGGGCGTCGACCATTGGCGTGGCTACTCTGGCAGGCGCCGTTTTTCTTCCTTTTGGCTGGCGGCACCAGCCATTGTGGTCTGTTAGCCACAACCCTCGAAACATTTGGAAATATATGTTTACCAGCAGTGTTGAGCCCAAGCCTGCCCCCCCCCCCCCCCCCCCCCCCCCCCCCCCCCCGGAGCCTCCTGGTTGGACCGGCCGGGCGCCCGTCCCAGTTGGCTCCCAGTTCCCCCCAGCGCATTTTTGCTCAGTTCTTCTTCGGGCCTCGTAGACCCCACCGCAGCTCAAGAAAACATGAACCCAGGCCGGTAGGCCCGTCAATGGCAAAAAAAAAGCGGCTAATCTGGGCCGCTGATCTTTAATGGTCGACACCCAAGATTGGCAGCGATTCGAACTGCGAGCAAGCGCTGGACTCCGGCACGAAAGACTGCTCCGCCTCGCCCCCCCGCTTCGAACTTCGACACAAGTATCCTGCCCGGCGCCGTGCGACCCCGCCATGTCGTTAGTCCGTTGGAGACACGCCGTGTGAGCCCTCAATCGCGTCTCCAGGTGAGAGATAGAGAGAGAGAGCTGCGAGCCTCTCCTCTTCTTCTTCTTCTTCTCCTTCTCCTCCCCCTCCTCTGCCACTACTTCCTCCTCTCCTATTCATCATCATCATCGTCATCTTCTCCTCCTCCTCTTCTTAATCTTCTTCTTCTCCTCCTCCTCCTCCTCCTCCCCCTCTTCTTCTTCTCCTCCTCCTCTTCTTCTTCCTCCTCTCCTTTTTTATCCTTTCCTCGTCTCCACTCCCCTTAAGTATTTATTTCTTTTTCTGTCGGGCAAAAGTCGACCTTGCCCGTTGACAGAAACCCCAACCCGCATCTTCCCCCCCCCCCCCCCCCCCCCAACCAACCAGGCACACGACACAAGGGATCAAACCCCTCCCCCTCCTCCACCTCCGACTCTCCTTCTCCGCCGCAGCGTGTTCTTCTGCTTCTCCTCATCCTCTTCTTCTTCATCCTCTTCTTCATTCTCCTCTCCTCTTCTTATCTTTTCCTCCTCTGCTCCCCTTCGTTTTGTTTTTTTTTTTGTTGGAAGAAAACTTACGAAAACGTCTAACAATCCCCCTTCTTTTTCTTTTGGAGAAAAGTTCAGAAAACCACTACCCCTCCCCCGTCCAGTACTCTTCTTCTCCTCCTCCGCGTCTTCTTCTTCTCCTTCTCCTCTTTTTCACCTTCTCCTCCTCATCTTTTTCTTCTTCTCCTCCGTTTGCTGATGGCCAGGTATGCCGTTATCCGTTATGCCGTTATCCGTGTCTGC